CCGGCCCCCTCCACCAGGTAACAGATCCTTGAGGGGAAAGTATGTGTTTTTTGATGATGTTTTTTTATATAAAGTGGAAACACCTCTGAAAGTAAACTTTTTTCATCTGAGACTTGTCAAGATCAGCTGAGCTCACAGCTGCCTCTCTTCACACATTCCCCACACAGAATGAGCCAATAACCTTTAAACAGCGTTTTAATTGACACAGCAGTTCAGTAAATATCACAAAACACTCGTCTGCCACGTCAGCTAAAATTATGCTTTTTTCAGCAGACCGAGTCCAGTAATATCCCTCGTTTTCAGCCAGAGCCCGTTTTTAATTTCTGCTGTTTTCTGCCCACTCACAGCACAGCGGGAGTAAATGTGTTTTCTCCATGACAGTTGTAGCCTCCACTGAAACAGCATCTCACTCAGAAAGCGCTCACGCCTCCTCTCAGTGCGCGCCGGCTCACCTCAGCTCTATGTGAGACCGCAGCCTGGGCTCAGCACAGAGGCACACATACAGCCCCTTTTTTCTGTCGGAGCCCCCCTTGGGTTCCCCCCGGAGAATCTCCGGAGCAAGTGATGGCAGTAAGGATTTTTAGTCTGGTTGACATTCATGAGAAACATGACACAACACAAATGCGTGCCCGCTCTCCGAGCGTTACTCAGAGTGGCAACGAGTGTGTTCCCTGGACAGATGGATGGACCGTCTGATCAGCAGGGGTTACACGCTGCAGTTCGCAGCTCAACCCCCACCGTTCAGAGGGATTATAGAGACGGTTCTGTCTTCTCCAGAACAGAGCTCATCTTTCCAGTCAGAATTTCAGGAATTCCTGATGAAAAAACGTGATTTCCAGAGTTCCCAACGGAGAGGAAAATACGTTTTTTTTTCCTCCCACTACTTCCTGGTTCTGAGAAAAAACCAGAGGGATGAGACCCATTCTCATCCTGTTCATGTTCAGCAATTCGATCATGGGGAGACAATTCCACATGCTGACAAACAGCTGCTGGAGAACTTCACCAGAACGACTGGCTTTCACCTCCATAGATCTGAAGAGCGCATATTTTCACATTTCCATCATTCTGAAACACCCCACGCATGTTCTCGAAATGCGTGGAGACGGCTCTGCAGTCGTTACACATGGCAGGAATGAGAAATCTTTTTATCTGGACGATCTGCTCTTATTAGCTCGGTCCAGTTAGAAAGCTGTTGCACAGACCAAAACGCTTCCACCTGCTAAACCTGGGGTTTTCTATAAACTGGGAAAACCTTCCATTTGTCCATCCCAGATGATTGTTTATCTAGAAGTGGAGCTAAACTCAACTACAATGAGAGCTGTTTATCACAGCTGAGAGCCGAAACTCTGTCAGCTCAGCTCCGCTGTGTCAAACACTGCAGCATAGTTTTTCATTTAGCCTTTATTTATCCAGGTTAGTCTCATTGAGCCACGAGAACTCATTTTCAAGAGAGACCTGTTTAGGGAGCAGATGGGGGTTAAGGGCCTTGCTCATGGGCCCAGAGTGGGGCGAATGAGGGTGGGGGCAAGTGTGGGTGTTTCACCTACCCCACCCACAATTTTGATGTTGTCGGGGCCGGGGCGTGAACCGGCGATCTTCGGATCACAAGCCCACCTCTCTAACCTCTGCGCCACCACTCCCCAATAGTGACAGCTCTGCCTGTCATGTGACTCCTGGGACGATGTCAGCGGCCCACATCGTGGTTCGGCTGGGCCTTCTTCACATGAGACGCCTTCAGAGATGGTTCGCCCGCTTGCGCATAGATCCTGTGTGCCAGAAGAGGTGGATTATCTTTGTGCCCCCCTCTGTGAGAACTGATCTGAATCACTGGGGAAACCCTCTCATTCTGTCAGAGGGAGTTCCCATCAGCAGGACTACGTCACACGTCTCAGTTTTCACAGACGTGCTCCTGTCAAGCTGGGAGGAATGTGTCTGTCCCAGGCAGTGGGAGCACAGTGGCTGGACCACATGTCACTTTACATAATGTGCTATAATGTTTCACGGTCTGAAACGTGACTCAGCATTTGCCCCTGCTGTGGGATCAGCATGTTTTGATCCACACAGACAACAAAGTGACAACAGTTTACATAAACCGTCAGGGAGACGTGTGCTCAGCCCAACTGTTACGCATCGCGAAACAGCTGTTGTGTTGGCCACAAAAAAACCTGCTCTTTATCAGAGCAGTGTACATTCCCAGCGTCCTGAACAGGTGAACGGATATCATGTCGAGGGGCGGTCCCCACCACAGAGACTGGAGCCTCCATCCCGAGCTGATTTCTCAGATTTTGGAGCAGGTTCGGCTGAGCAGCAGTGGATCTGTCCGCCACATGGGAGAACGCCCAGTGTCAATTATGGTTCTCACTGAGCCCACGAGACGACCCACCATTAGGAGTGGACACCTTCGCTCACAGCCCGTGGCCAAAAATGCTCCTTTATGCATTCCCTTCAGTCCTGCTGATATCACAGACCATGGACCAGGTTCGGGAGGAAGAACCGTCAGTCATCCTCATAGCTCCCCAATGCATATGTGCTCTGTGGTTCCCGAATCTGCAGCGACTGATATCGGGTCGGCCGTGGGATCTGCTGTGGGGGGGCGCTCTCCTCTTGGCAGGAAGAGCGATTAGGTGTTACCCAGAAATAGGTCAGCACCTTTGGATCTGTCCGCTGAACAGATCCGTTTAGAAAAGATGGGCCTCCCACAGGATGTGGTGCATACGTTCAGGGTGCATGAGCTGCTTCCACCACAGCGCTGTACACATCATGTGGACAGTTTTTCAGCGCTGGTGTGCAAAGAAAAGCGTGGAGGCCATCTCATGTCCACTAGGTGGCGTGCTGTCATTTCTATAGCAGCTGATGGACAGAGATCTAGCGTTCAGCACAATTAAAACTTATGCTGCAGCTATTTCTTCCAGTCACAAGGGCTTCGGTGACATCAGTTCTTTATCACCCGTTGATGAAGCATTTTCTGGAAGGTGTACAGAGACACAGACTGGTGTCACGTCCACTAGCTTCACAGTGAGACCTAATGATGGTCTTGCACACTCTGATCAAAGCTCCTTTTGAGCCTTTAGATCAGGTTTTACTTAAATTTCTGTCATTTAAAACAGCCCTGCTGTTAGCTCTGACGTCGGCAGTGAGTGAGTGATTATCTGCTCTCTCTGTTGCTCTCTCATGTCTCAGAATTCAAGCTGACGGCAGTTCAGCTGTACTGCGTTTTAATCCTCTTCTGAAAAACATCACAAGCTCATTGGCTCTGCATGGAGGGATGACAGTGGAGGATATTTGTATGGTGGCTGCCTGGTCATCGCCATGTTCAATTATTAGTTTTTATCTACGTGATGTTTCTACTTTCTCCATGACCCATTCTGTTCTCAGGGTTCTGTCAGAATGATTATTATTTTATTATTATTTGTTTCATGGAGCCTCACTTTTGAGTTCACACCTGCCTGCATGCAGTCGCAGTGTGAGATATTTATTATCAGTCACAAGTTCATGACTGCTGATTTTATTGTGCTATTCTACTTTTTTATTTTATTTTATTGTGCTATTTTATTGGGCTATTCTACTATTCTACCAATAGTAGAATAGCCCTGTTAGCCTAGTTTATGTGTTCATTATATGTTAGTTTGTGTTAGACCATTCAATACAGTAACCATGAGTGAGGGAGGTAGTTGTCATGAAGTACTGTGGGGTTCACTCTGTCTGTGTGTTGAACAAGAAGATAAAGTCTGTAAAATGCCTTTTGGTGGTTGATATCTCATTTTACAACGTGGACACCCACTTATAGACAAGTGCGCCCTGTGTATGTACAATTTTTTGTGGGCGTGGCTTATACTCCTGTGCGCTCAATAGTCTGGCAATTACTGTATTTTTGCATGGATAAAAGATATGCTTTTTCTAGCTTTGACAGCCTCATTACTGGACACTCCAAATAATCAAGTGTCTGTACACCTACTACTGATTAACTTTGGAGTTTAAGCAATTCAAGATGGCTTTCACAGTAAAGCAATCTAAAGGCCACCACATACTCGGGCGTACTTCACTCCGCAGAGGTCCGCGCATACTCGAGGCGGACTCAACGTGGACTCGAAGCAAACGTCTGCGAGCCATGTCCACGCAAAGATCAATTTTTACGACTGCATACTCATACTCCGTGTCACACAATAAACTGCCCAGCGACCGACTGTTTTGTATGCGACACCAATGTATTAAATTCACTTTTTTCATCCCTGATCTGGTTAAATGGCCTTTTCTGTTTTTTTTTGCTAAGAGGCAAGTGATCTCTTCCTCCTCGTCCGTTGACACCATGACTGAAATTGTGAGAAATGAAGGAATTTGTCACAAGAGAATTAAAATCAGGCCTGGCATGGCTAATTGGGCTGGAGATTTCCCGTTGAGCTGGTCTGATGTGTGGGCTGCAGGGCCAGCACTCCCTGTTGTATTTTTTAGAACTTTTTATTAACAACATATAAACACAGAACACCGCTGTGGCTGGGCTGCCAGCTGCCTCTACCCAGGGCCGCCAGCAGCTTTTTTTTTTTTTTTTTTTTTGCGACCTGTCAATCAATCCAGTAGGGGTGTCAGCAAATGACCAATCGGATCGGCGACCTCAATTTGTCCCGAAGGTAAACTCCCCTTGCCTGCAGAGCTGGGCTGAAGCCCATCAGGATGAAGTCTCAACCGTCTGCGGACAGTGCACGCAGTGTTCGCGTGGCTCACAGAGTACACACAGTAACCCCCGAGTATGTGCCTTTAGCCTCACAACATTACATGAGCTTTTGCATAATTTACAAGGTTTGACCAAAATGGCTACAGCTCATCTTTCCTCATGACGATTGCAGTTTGATATGATTGCATCCTTGTTTGCATATTAAATGTATTCAGAATTCCTTCCTGGGCATTTAGTGTGTGCTTCTGTAGTGGTCAGAGGAAAACTGACTGAATGTTTGGCAGATAGTCATCACTTACCATTGATCAATGGAAAATCTTGCCATCACCAGATCCTGTGGATCATCCCACTGGAGCCACTGCAGTGGACTTTGATCGTGGTTGCAATGGTGGTCTCTGGCTCAGTGTTGGTCCTCACCTTCTGGCCTGTGGTCCGTGACGACAGTAAGTTTATGGCTGTGGGCACCATGATTACCATCGTGGTCCTGAACGCCCTGCTGGCCATCGGGTGTAAGGTGAGTGAAGTCCACACACAATCGGTAGCAGAACTATTCACACCTCCTGGCAACCTTTACATTTTGTTGTAGGGGTGCACCAATTGCAGTTTTCTGGCCAATCACCTATTTCTAAAAAGTCTGACCTGCCGATACCGATTTTGTTTTATAAGCGACACTGTCAGGTGTTATAAGGTCTCAATGCACCTTCAATTTTCCAATATTATTTTGTTGAAAAACATACCCTTGAACAATATCCTCGAAACGATACAAACTGGTTTTAACTGGCCATGAGGTAGTGCTCTGAAATATAAATCAAGTTTAGACAATTGTTGTTAAAACTAAAAAAATCTGTGAAATCTGTTTCTCATGCAAGTATCAGACAATTTTCCAAAATTAAGGAAATCGGGGCCAATTTATTGGTGCACACCAATTTTGTTGTCTTCCAGCCTAGAATTTTAATCTGATTATAAACAAAAATTAGGTAAAAATATACTTTAGGATAATTAAATGGGAACAACCTTTTTTTTAAGTCCTTCATCCATCCATCAGCTGCCACTTGTTCCAGAGTCCAGACGTCTGTTTCCCCAGGTGTCCGGAGAAGATTATGAAGTTTTTCAAGGCTAGCAGCTTGTCCTGGGGTCTTCTCCTAGCTGGACATGTTCTGTGGAGGCATCTAGGTGACATATCTTTACCAGATGTCTGAACTAGGGGTGCACCGATAAATCGGCTGGCCAGTTTATCTGCCCCGATTTTCTTAATTTTGGGAAATCAGCTGATACTTGCATGAGAAACTGATTTTACCAAGTGTTTTAGTTTTAACAACAATTGTCTGAACTTCATTTATATTTCAGAGCACTACCTCATGGCCAGTTAAAAACAGTTTGCATTGTTTCTAGGATATTGTTCAAGGGTATGTTTTTCAACAAAATAATATTGGAAAATTGAAGGTGCATTGTGAACTTATAACACCTGACAGTGTTGCTTATAAAACTAAATCGGTATTGACCAAAATCAGAATCAGCAGGTCAGACCAACAATTTTCAGTCAGTTCATCTGGACAGTTTCTTTTTTTGCTGAAACGTTTCACCTTCCATCTGGAAGGCTTCATTAGTCAAGGAAACACACAACAAAACTGATTCTTTCCCAAAACAACTTACTCCAAAGTGGAACAAACCAGTTATGTTGGTGCTAGGATGGTCTCTTTGGTACACCCCCTCCTCTGGAGCCGGCCATTTTCCTCGTCGACAATCATGTCAAACTTGTTCAAAACCAAAAAAACAGGTCAAACGTTTTTAGAAATCGGTGATCAACCAGAAAACTGCAAACGGTGCACCCCTAGTCTGAACCACCTCAACTGGCTCCTCTTGATGTGGAGGAGCAGCGGTTTTACATTGAGTCTTTCCTGGTTAATTGAACATCCCATCCTATCTCTAAGGGAGGGTCCAGCTGTATTGCAGATAAAGTTCATTTAGACTTCCTGGATCCACAGTCAAATTCAAGTTGTTTATTTATCATATGCAGGTTAACACAGGGTTAACAGTACAATGAAATGCTTAGGATGAGAAGAACCGATTTGACTCGCTAAAAAAAAATCAAAGAACAAACCAACAAGAAAATACAAAAAAGCATGCAATAAGGGTACACAAAAGAAGTACCAAAAAGTGAAAAAGTAATTAATTAAAATATTTACAATGTCCTAAAAAGAGAGATTGATATTGACATGGTAGAGCAGGATTAATCTGAATAAGTATTTCAAGGTAGTAATATACGCTAAAATGCACATGATACACACACACACACACACACACACACACACACACACACATATTGCACATAATCAACATATACACTACATTGCCAAAAGTATTTGCTCATCTGCCTTGACTTATGAGCTTAAGTGACATCCCATTCCTAATCCATAGGGTTCAATATGACGTTGGTCCACCCTTTGCAGCTAGAACAGCTTCAACTCTTCTGGGAAGGCTGTCCACAAGGTTTGGGAGTGTGTTTATGGCAGTGCTTCTCAATTATTTTCAGTTACGCCCCCCCCAGGAAGAAGTAAACATTTTGCGCCCCCCAACTCTCCGCCACAGCTGTAAATAGTATAATTTGACTAAAAAATTGTTATAAATACACCTCTGCATAACATTGTACCCTTATTAACATTAAATAAATATATATCAACTTACAACAAAGATTATTAACATTGTTTTATAGTCTGTAACAGAAAAGACTTAAAGTGCATCAGTTTGCCTGATATATAAAAATCTATTCTTATTTAAACTGTAAACATTTTTGACCATTTGATACTGAACAATCAAATTGAATACAATCAATAAATAATAATAAATTCAAATTGATCAGCAACATTTTAAGTCAGGAGTGTTATATACAACACTTTGACCTACAAAACAAAAATAAATAAAACAATTTGTGCTGATTTATTTTATTTTTTTAATCAAAATGAGGAAGTCAGGATTAATGGCTACAATGAGCACGTTTTGCAGTGCACAACTTTTTGAAGCAGAGTTTGAAACATGATCCTGCAGCTCTCAGCTCCTGCTCCATGTTGTGCTGGACCTGGAACTGGACCTGGACCTGGACCTGGACTCAGAGCAGCAACAGCAGAGAAGTCGCAAAGAGCGAGCGAGCATGCTGGCGGTGGGGGGTCCATGGGAATGCGGCACGCTCACAAGAACCTGACAAGTTGTTTAATGACAAAATATATTTTGTTAGCAAAGAATACAGTCCTAACATTTGTTAAACATCTGTTTTTATAACAAATAAAAAAGAAACATCAAACTTGTGCTTTGACAATTGCATTTCACCCACAGTTGCTGTGCACTGTGGGTGAAATGCGTCCAGAGCGGAGGACTAGTTAGCAAAGAATAGAGTCCTAACATTTAATAAGCATTAGCTCTGTGTTTAAAAAAAAAAGATAAAAATTGTGCTTTGACAAACAAAAAAATATTGTTACAGTAAAATAGGAAGAGGGGCAGGTAACGCTCTCGCTTTGAGTTTATTCTCTGTCACATGCGTGCTGTGGGTGACAGGCGTCCAGAGCGTCACCAGCTGAGGAGGTGTCACAGCGACACGGTTCAAGCATGGCTCCCCAAACAACAAGACAGACGTATTTGTTCATAACATTATTATTAGTCAGACTGAGAGTTGACGGATTTTAGCAAACAGTTGCCGAATGCACCCTGACAAAATGAGAATGATGCAAAAAATAAATAAATAAATAATTAATCCCTGCCACAAAATGTTCCCCAGGGTCACATGCCCCCCTGGCATTGCTTCGGGCCCCCCCAGGGGGGCGCGCCCCACTATTTGAGAAGGACTGGTTTATGGGGATTTTTGACCATTCTTCCAGAAGCGCATTTGTGAGGTCAGAATCAGAATCAGAATAAACTTTATTGGAATTGCACCGAGGTACAACGCAAATATGTACGTACAGTCGTCTGAAAGATGGGCGGAGTGCACGAAGCTGCAACTACAGGAGAGCGTGGCCATTTTATCCTTATCAGATAATTATCTTAGATAGGAAAAGGGGGAGAAACATGAGGGTAGATAGTGGTATTAAAAAAAAAAAAATCTTTCGATAGATGAAGCTTTTGTCCTTGGGTATTCATGTCCCAGGAGAAATTTGATAGTCAGCCCGTCTCCGAGGCCATTGGGAGTCAGATTAGATAAGATTGATTTTTGTTTTTCTTCAGGCAGACAGATTTTTTTCTTCAGCCTTGAGTCCATCTGGGCGTTGTGGTTCCGAAAAAGCCTAATTGTGGAATTTAGTTTCACTAATCCATGCTGAGTCTCCTTCAAGGTCGAACCCACCACGCTGATGAGTCCCAGAAGCCGCAGGTGGTCTGCGATTCTCAATCGCCTCCACCTTACGGTTAAGCTTGTAAACCAGATGATTTAAAGTTCCCACAGCGAGGACCAGACCTTCACGCTGACTCGGAAGCTTTTCCATGGCCAAAACTGCTGCCGCTGTCTGCTTCAAAAGTCGATAAAACAGAGCCCCGCCGATGCCAAAAGCAGAGTCCCTGCTATCATAAGTCCAAATATGTAAACGTCTTCAACATCTTCTTGAGACAGAACAGAGAGGCACATCATCTGCCACACTCCCCACGAATCCATGACGTACCCCACAGCGTGAGTCTCAGCTGGACATGCCGGTTCCCCAGGACCTTGTCACTTTGATGAAAAAAAAATCAATAGAGTTGAACGCCCACAATCTAAATCCATAATCTTCTTAATTTATGTTCGGGAGATGAGACCCAGGCGCTTCAGACAGACAGAGAGCAGAGCAGGAAGAAGGAAAAAAACGGGGGAGGAGAAATTGAAGCTGCCACCTCAATGAGAGCCTGGATCGTCACATACTGATGTTGGATGAGAAGGCCTGGCTCTCAGTCTCGGCTCTAATTCATCCCAAAGGTGTTCTATCAGGTTGAGATCAGAACTCTGTGCAGGCCAGTCAAGTTCATCCACACCAGACTCTGCCATCCATGTCTTTATGGACCTTGCTTTGTGCACTGGTGCGCAGTCATGTCGGAAGAGGAATGGGCCAGCTCCAAACTATTCCCACAAAGTTGGGAGCATGGAATTGTCCAAAATGTCTTGGTTTGCTGAAGCAGTCAGAGTTCCTTTCACTGGAACTAAGGGGCCAAGCCCAGTTCTTGAAAAACAACCCCACACCTTAATCCATCCTCCACCAAACTTTACACTTGGCACAATGCAGTCAGACAAGTACCGTTCTCCTGGCAACCGCCAAACCCAGACTCATCCATCAGATTGCCAGATGGAGAAGCGTGATTCGTCACTCCAGAGAACGTGCCTCCACTGCTCTAGAGTCCAGTGGTGGCGTGCTTTACACCACTGCATCCAATGCTTTGCATTGCACTTGGTGATGTATGGCTTGGATGTAGCTGCTCGACCATGGAAACCCATTCCATGAAGCTCTCTGCGCACTGTTCTTGAGCTAATCTGAAGGCCCCATGAAGTTTGGAGGTCTGTAGTGATTGACTCTGCAGAAAGCTGGCGACCTCTTCGCACTATGTGCTTCAGCATCCGCTGACCACGCTCCATCAGTTTACGTGGCCTACCACTTTGTGGCTGAGTTGCTGTCATTCCCAAACACTTCCTATCAGTTCCATGCTGGAATTCACTGAGCTCCCGAGAGCGACCCATTCTTTCACAAATGTTTGTAAAAACAGTCTGCATGCCTAAGTGCTTCATTTTATACACTTGTGGCCATGGAAGTGATTGGAACACCTGATTCCGATAATTTGGATGGGTGAGCAAATACTTTTGGCAATGTAGTGGACCACGTATAGGTTATTGCACAGGTAGTGACATTGAGGTTGAATTATTAGTTATTGCCAGTTTGTACAGTGTTATTTATCGAGTTCAGTAATCTGACAGCTTGCGGGTAACAACTGTCCTTTAGTCTTTTTGTATGCGATGGCAGACTCCTGTATCGTCTGCCTGAGGGTAGTAGAAGGAAGAGTCCTTGTGCTGGGTGGGTGTGATCCTTAATGATGCTGCATGCTTTACGCAGACATCGGCTGTGGTAGATGTCCTGGATGGTGTGGAGACTGCTACCAGTGATGTCCTCTGCTGTTTGCACCATCCTCTGTAGAGCTTTCCGGCTCTGACTGGTGCAGTTCTTGTACCATCTCAATGGTGCAGCTATAAATGCTGGTGAAGATTAGGCATTCGTACCAAACTTAGTTAGTATTTTTAGGAAGTAGAGTCTTTGTCAGGCTTTCTTGACCACAGTGTTTGTATGTAAAGTCCAGGACAAATCCTCGGTAATGTGAACGCTGAGGAACTTGAAGCTACTGACTTGCTCCACCTCAGCGTTGTTTATGTTGGTGGTGGCGTGCTGGCATCCACGTTGTTTCCTGAAGTCCACTATCATCTCCTTTTGTTTTGGTGGCATTTAGAGAGAGGTTATTTTCCTGATACCAGCTGGTCAGTGATTTCACCTCGTCTCTGTAGGCACTCTCTTCATCGTTGGTGATGAGGCCCAGGATGGTGGTGTCATCAGCATACTTGAGGATGTTGTTTGAGCTGTGCTTTGTGGTACAGTCATATGTAAATGGTGAGTACAGTATTGGACTGAGGACACAGCCCTGATGTGTACCGGTGCTGAGGACTAGTGTGGAGGAGAGGTGACAGCCGATTCTCACTGCCTCTTGTTCTTTCAGTCACTACCCAGAGTTTGTGACCATAGTTGAGGACAGGAACGTAGACCGAGTGGTAAAAAGAGTGTTTCCTTGCAGCTCAGCTCCCTCTTCGCCACAACAGACTGGCACAGAGTCCGCAATACTGTAGAAGCTGCACCGATCCATCTGTTGAGCTAGCTTACCATTTTTGCCTCACTGTCAACAAAACGTGAACTTCCTAAACGCTCCACTTCAGGCAGCACTTCCCTCCCAGCCCAGAGAGCGCAGTCCCTCCTATTGTGACTCAGAACCATGGCTTCAGATTTAGAGGTTCTGATTCTCGTTCCAGCTGCTTTACCGAACCCCCTTTGCCCCCTGGCTGCACAGAGAAATTCTGTTTGTAATCGTTATGAACCGAATCGGTAACAAGGGACAGCCCTGGTGGAGTCCAACTCCCACGTGAAGGTGTCCGACTTACAACTGGCAATGAGAACCAAACTGTCACACTGCTTGTGTAAGGACAGAACAGCTTGTAGCAACAGACCTCTGTCCTGACAGAGCCCCCCCCCCCACACACACACACACACACATGCAGTGTACCTCAAAGAACACAGTCCAACTCCTTCTCAAACTCTGCTTGGCCTAAATCTGCATAAATAAGATCAAAGTGAACTTTCTGACCACAGTTCTTATGAAGCTCGGTCAACTCTTTGGAAACTGAACATAAATATCTTTATCTTAAAATCAATCATTGATGTTAATTGGCCCGTCTTACTACAGTTAAGCTCCAAAATTGAATCTGTTAGAATGAATGTTTTTCTATGCATGCTGTAAAACATTTTAAATGTTTGCCTATTAAAATATCAGATAACTTCTAGATTTGAAAAGATTATGCTCAAGATACTGGCAAGGTCTATACAGTCTGGTGGGATTGGACAGAGGATGTGAAATCTGTATGCAGTGAGTTGTTGTGAATCAGAACCATCGGTACTATGTTACATTAGGTGACTAGATAAACTGGAGGTAAAAACAGGAGCAAATTAAGAAAGCATCCTGATGCTGCTCAATAATCCAGGTAGATAAATCTAACAAGATTGAGTCAGGTCCTCTGGACAGATTCTTATTCTTGAAACGTTTCGTCTTTTATCTAAAAAAACTTCTTCAGTCTGAGGAGCTGCACTAAACTCAGTCTTATAAATAGCACCTTCTCATAGTGGATCAACCAGTTTGTTGTTGACATCCAGAACTGGATGTTCACATGATCAAGGAAGACCAAAATCCTAATGGCTGATCATTAGTGCTCTGATGGCTGCTTGCTGTTCACAGGGGACTGAGTGATACTAGCAATAACAGCATTGTAAGAAGAGGACAGTTGGACACGGAGGCCTCCACCCCTGTTTCCTCTTTATCGCTCCTGCCCAAGTTGGCGAGGCGACAGGCGCATATAGACATGTAAATATGTCTGTGGGCGCGCACCCCAAACACTCATATTGTGGCCGACCACAAGGGGGCTCCACTCACACGCAGATGTTAGGATGTTTTGTTTTTAAAAATATGTAGAAAAAATTACATGCACAAAATTTATTTTTTATCAGAGCTTAAAATTATGTTATTCAAAGTGTTGAGCATAATTTTGCTGTTGTTTATGTGTAATACCATAATAAAATTATGTTTATACTGTTTAAAAACGGCCTCTGTTTTACACATTGTGGTGTGTTGCCAGTTGGGCTTGTTTTGGGTTTATTTTCATAGAGCTGGTTGCTTGATTCTATTGTGAGATCTGGCAACATAGAGTCCAACATTTCACTCACCACATCAACTCTGTGGATAAATATATAAAGTTCACACAAGAAGATGTAAAAGATGGGAGGCTGGCTTTCTTGGACTTTGACGTCTCAGACTCTGATGGAGGACATTTGTGAACTGAGGTGTATCACAATCTATCTGTACTTATATAGCGCCTTTCTATCTTGAAATAAGATAGAAAGGCGCTATATAAGTACAGTCCATTTACAAACCCACCAACACAGACCAGTATTTGCAGTTTGACTCCCATCACCACAGAGCAGACAGCGTCCCCACTAACTCGGGAGACGGGCAGAAGGAGAAATCCTACATAAGACAGGCTCTAGAGCAATGTGGATATCCTAACTGGACCTTCCTGAAAGCAGAGAATGGACTGAAAATGGACTGTACTTATATAGCGCTTTTCTATCTGATCAAGATGCTCAACACAATCTGTTCCCTCATTTACCCATTCATACAGCACTCTACTAGATCTCTACAAAGAATAATCAGAGCTTTATCACATTCATACACCGATGGGACACACATCAGAGACAATGAGGGGTTCAGTGTCTTGCCCAGGGAAACTTCGGCATGTGACTGCTGGTGGAATTGAACCCCCAACTCTTGCATTGGAGTACGACTGCTCTAATCACTCAGCCACAGCCGCCCCTGACGAAGAAACCCAAACAGGACTCCAGTCAGCCAACAGGTGAAAAGGAGGAACCCAGACCCAGACCAGTGGTCATTCCATATGTTGAGGGAGTATCAGAGAAACTGAGACGTTTATTTTCTAAACACAACGTCCCAGTGGCTTTTAAACCCCAAAATACATTAAAGACTGGTTCATCCCAAAGATCCAGTCCCCCGGCACAAACAGAGTAATGTTGTGTATGTTGTTCAGTGTCAGGAGGGTGATCAGTCTTACATCGGGGAAACTAAACAGCCACTGGCCAAAAGGATGAACCAGCACAGAAGATCAACATCATCAGGCCAGGACTCTGAGGTCTACACTCATCTCCAGGCCAGCGGTCACTCTTTCAGGGATGAAGATGTGCACATCCTGGACAGAGAGGAACGATGGTTTGAGAGAGGAGTAAAGGAGGCCATCTTTGTGAAAAGAAATCGTCCATCGTTAAACAGGGGTGGAGCCTCCAGGTTCAACTGTCCCCCTCTTACAATGCTGTGATTGCTAGTATCACTCAGCCCTCTGTGATTAGTAAACAGCCATCAGGTGCTAATGATCCATTGTTAGGCTGATGGTCCTTCTTGACCATGTGATCAGCTGGTTCTGGTTGTCAGCAGCAAAACTGGTTGATCCACTCTGAGAAGGTGCTATTTAAGAGACTGAGCTGAATACAGCACCTCAGACTGAGGAAGTCTTTTAGATAAAAGTTGAAACGTTTCAACAAAAAAGAATCCGTCCAGAGGACCTGTTAGATAAATAAAAAATGTGTTTTGCCTTTAACTTCATTAATCCAAGTATTTTTATAGAATTGTTGCTTTTAAACAAATAAAACATTCAACTATATTCCAGGCTGTAAGGCAACAAAATGGAAATGACACCAGTACGGATGAATACTTTTTACATGTTTAATAAAGCAACCATTGAACCTCACCATTTCTCTTTCAGCTATACTTCTTTCAGACACCAGACCAAACCCCTTCACCAACAGCCCCGGGGATTTACTCCAACCTGACCGTTCAAGCCCACTGACAGCGGCTGCAGCTGGTTGAATCAGACCTCCATGATGCACAACGTTATGATTTCAACATTCAACGGGACTAAAGGAAACTATCAGGCCAAGTCCATCCTTCCAGCAATAACAGAAGAGTCATCAAAAATAGTGTTGAAAGTGGTTAATTTGAGGTGCTCAAGCATTCTGCTTTTGTTCTGGTAAAAGTTAAGTCATCTCAGATACCTTTTTAAATGATAGTCTGGTCCTTTCTGGAACGAACTGGCTCCTAGTGTTACGGAGCACATCTGTTCTGGCTGTGAAAAAGTGCTCGTCCTTCCCAGATCTCTTCTGTTTTTGCTTTGTCATATTTACATGTTTCACATCTTTAATAAATGTTAGGATGCAAAAAAAAACAACAGTTTTTTAAATGATCACATACAAGAGAATCTAATATGATCAGTCAGGCCACAGTTAACAGATAACTGGAGGTTAACCTGGCTGTGGAGGAACGTTGCTGCTGATCATCGTCTGCTCGGATCATGAACTGAGCCGGACCTGTTCAGGGTTCTCGGGTACACAGGTTCCATCAAGGCAGTCCATTCAGAGTTAGACACCAGATGAAACGAGACGCACACCTTCCAAAAAAAATCCACTTTTGTCTCGTCAGTGCACAGAATTTTCCCTGAAGTGTTAGAGACCATCCAGATGTTTTGTCTTTGAGCCAACGTTACGTGAGCCTTTGGGTTGCCTTAGCTTGGCTGTGGTTTCAACCTGGTGGTCATTTCTTTGCTCTTTATTTGCTTAAAATCCATTTTGCAAACTTGTTCCTTGGTTGGTCTTAAAGTAAAATAATCAAAGTAAAGAAGGTGCGCACAGAGTCTGTATAAAAACAGACGAGTTGAAGCTTGAAGAGGAATACAGCATTATAATCTGACAGCTGTGTAGGTTGGACTAATGACCTCTGACCTGAACTGAAGCCCACGACTCCTGCAGGGCTTTAGATGTAACACCAGACCTGTCTGGTGGCCTGCCTTTCTAAACACTCACTTCATAATTTGACAAGTACTTCTTGACAAAGGGCCGGGTTGGTTCGGAGCGCCTTCGTCTCGTGATAAACAAAATGATCATTTCTATGTTTGACGATCTGAAACATTTAAATGTAAAGCAAAAACAGATGAATTTTGTAAAAGGCCTTTTTTTACAGGAAGTTGATTTATTAGCCTATATGAAAAACGGACACTCTTTAGCGTAGCCTGGATGAAGACTTTTGCTTCTTTCCATGCACTCCGTGCTCTGATGTCACAGCTGGGAAGATAAATATTGATAACCTTCAAATATCAACAGACTATCTCTTGACGATTGCTCAAATTGTTCTTAAAACACCAAATGTTGATTTTTCTGCTCAGAGTCCAGTTGGAGGCAGAACCGTTGACCCGTTTTTAACTGGGACTGGATTCAGGTCCACTCAGACTGAACAGGCACCGTCTGCATTAACTAAAGGAACTGATCATTTAAACTCTAACAACACTGAGGGTTTACATCGAAACAGAGACTTATTTCTTACTGTGAAGCTACTGAGGGGTTTGTGTTAATAAACTCAGAATGTTTACTTGTTTGTTTGTTTATGTTCTAAAGTCCCACCCAGCAAGAACTTATTCAGCTTACAAGGACTGAATACTTGGTTACGGTAGAATGGATGGTAAATGGACTGTACTTATATAGCGCCTTTCTATCTTATAGAGATACTCAAAGCACTTTACACTGCAATCTATGCCTCATTTACCCATTCATACAGCTCTATACTAGATCTCTACAAAGATGATTGAACAAATCATTCTAAAGAGACTAATCAGAGCTTTTAGATCACATTCAAACATTGATGGACACACATCAGAGGCTATGAGGGGTTCAGTGTCTTGCCCAGGGACACTTCAGCATGTGACTGCTGGTGGATTCGAACCCCCAACTCTCACATTGGAGGACGACTGCTCTAACCACTCAGCCACAGCCGCCCCGGTAGAGTCATCTCCAACAGTGTCAATGAAGCAACTGTTGTCATCCATTTTTCTTCCGTGTGATAAAACGTTCACCTCTTTCAGGACAATCCTGCTGTAACTTTTGCTATCTTTTCATCTTTAACTTTTTTAAATATTTAGCCTTTTCTGCCATTTTGTCCTCATAGGAAATGAACTGAGCTCATTTTACATCAAATCTTTAGATCTGTTTAAACCCTTTTACTGCTCCTTTCACATGTTTTTACTGCAGCAGCTTTGTGCAAATTTAAAAAAAATTCAGCTACTTTCAGCTGTTTTGTGCTCCAAGCAGGTTCTTTCTGCTAAGTTCAGTTTGTTGCTTTCAGCTTATTTCTGCTAGTTGTGTGAATGCCTGCTTTTCTGTTTATATTTATGATGGCATTCACACAATTGCTTTTCCGTTTAATCATTATTCCATACATTTTTGTAAGCTATCTACTCCCACAGAGCTATCTACAGCCAAGAGCCTCCACAGCGCCCACTAGCGCCACCTGCCAATTTTCAAAATACCCTACATTAACCTTAGTTCATCGTAGAAACACGAAATTTGGTACACTTCCCCAATTCCACAAGATGCACAGAAAACCCTCTGGCACCAACGTTGTACGATAAACAGAAAAGGTGGCCATTTTGGAATCCTGACCAAATTTTCACACCTATTTGGTGGTTTATAGACTGCACATTTTTCACTCAATCCTTTTCAAACTTAGTCATTTTGGTCAAGAGGCATGGGGGATGAAAACTTATCTAAACGGTGCGTTTCTGAGCATGCTGAAGGGGCGGGGCCAGACCTCAAAGTTTGACATCTCGCCATGAAAAACGAAAAGCTAATAACTCCTACACGAAAACTGTCTGAGACATCAAACCTTCAGTGATTGATCCACATCCTGTCCCCTGCAAGACTGATTGGTCAAATCATGACATCACTTAAACCACGCCCCTGACAACAGGAAGTGTAAAGTTTTACGTTGAACGCCCCAAGCTGACCCCTGTGATCTAATCACCATGATAGTGTGTCCACTGACCGAACATGTTGGTGTAACTTGCTTTCCAACACTGACAATTTTGGGTGGAGCGTGTGGGTGGCGTGGCGTGGCGAAGTAAAACGTAACGCCGTCGCAATATGTTTGGCTTTAAATTCCAAGCTACACACCAATTATGTCGGTTTGTTTTTTTTTGGCCGGTGTTCTGTCCATTCAGCATACCTGTGATGGTATCATACATTTAATTAATACGCATGCGCGCACATGCACATTTTACAATAAGCCTGTGACATTCAGAGGAGCTGTATGATCATCCTACACTGCAAGATACAACAAAGTAATTTAGTAAATTGTTTTGGTGCAAAGTACACATGGTATTATTGTGTATTTACACAATTTACAGTGTGCATTGCATTTCCTGAACCGTAAGTAAATCGTTTTGTTGACGCTTTGCGTGTAATATGTGCACGACTTCAGGTGGAGCGAAAACTCCATTTGTTTATGTGCAAACCATGCAAGCGAAGTTAGTCCGAGCTTTGTGAATTTAAGCAATATAAGGACAATATAATCAATCTGCTGCCTTAACTGTTAACTCAGGGTGTCATACAGCTGTTAAACTGTAAAGTCAGGGTGTCATACAGCTGTTAAACTGCTAAGTTAGGGTGAACTGAGGCATCGGGGTGTAATACAGCTGTTAAAAAAAAAGTATATGATGATCTGACAGGTTAACTGCTAACTCAGGGTGTAATACAGCTGTTATTCAGGGCGGATTGAGACGTCAGGGTGTCATACAACTATTATTCAGGGCGGATTGCGGCATCAGAGTATCATACAGCGGTTAATAACAAAATATGATGATTTGACAAGTTAACTGCTACGTGATAGTGTGATATGGCTAATTAAAAAGAAGTGTATGGTGCTCTCACTGTGGATAGATGTAGCCGTCAGTTTGCGCTACGAGTATGGCGATCAGTGCTGCGTGTATGGCGGTCTGACAGTGTATGCTAGCTGAACAGAACACGGCAGTAGTCGCAGGTTTTTTTTGTTTTTTTTTGCCGGCCGGTCGGTCTGTCACTCATTCCTACTGTATCTAACATTCGACTGGGATCTTTGTTATGACATAAAATTCATGTCCCGGCGATATCTAACGGTATGAGAAGCTACACGAAGCTACATGCTAACTACGGTCAGCTAGCTTCTCTCGAAGAAAACAGACTTTCACCATTTATGCAGTTTTCAACTCAAAAAAACGTAACAGTAAATATCGCTTTTTACTTACTTCCACAGATAAATTTTAGCTCGAGGAGATGACGCCCTGCACGGCTCCGACGCTGCGGTGGAGAGGACCCGGGTAGACCGGTGGAGCTCCATCTAGCTCGCTCTGAATTTTGTCGTCGGCCAGCAAGCACAAAAAAAACGCCAGCACTACAGCATTAGGCCACGGTGTTGTTATTATTGTTTTTAAATCTTTAAAATAGGTCCAGCCGCTACTCCGGTTCGAGAAATTGCAAATGGCGGATCGGAGTTTTGAAAAGTTTCTGAAAGATCCAGTGACTCCTCCCCCTGACCAATCAGTGACCGACAGTGTTCTGACGTCACATGTGGACCCAACAAGAACCAGACCTGGGACCCCAGAGAAGTAGGTCCCAAAAATCGTGCGGGTTCCACCGCTGAAGGCACTGTGGAGACACTACGCAATCGGCCCAAACTAGTTACTTAGAAGCACCAAAAGCTTCCAGCTTGACCCTGTGTAATTTCTAAAAACTAAACTGTAACTGTTGATTACAACACGACATGTGGAAAAGCATATATGAAGTGCTCGTCAAACGTTTGCAACAAAACAGGAAGTCACAATAACTCCTGTCTGGAAAGTCGGATTTCACGTATACTTGTAAGACATTTAGCTGTACTAGTACTGAAATGGACAGAAGGCCATGTCAAACATTCAGAAAATGCGCATCGTGGTGAACGTGTGGGGGACTGGCATGACAGCGTTCGCGATGGCAACTGGGTGGAGGGGCAGAAGCTCCTGCGGTCGCGGCATGGCCGAAGCGGTGCTTTGCTGGGACGTCCTTAAATGGCATTCACACATACATTTTCGAAGGAAATGCAAATTCTCTAGTTTTATTT